GCCACAAACAAGCTGGAGTCCCACAAGCACCAACTCCCATAGTGGAAAAAAATCGGTTTGTAGGTGATAAGATGGTTTCTGTGGCCCATCATCTCCCCCATCAACTCCTCTATGGCAGCCATGCCAAAATGGTTCAAAACACCAAAGTTCATGTTCAATTATACAGGTACAAATCCAACAATGTTCAGTCAGGTCATCTGGATGGTTTAATTGTTTTGCTGAGATGTTTCGTCCTTCATCCAAAGGACTTCTTCAGTCTGAGGAGCCACAAACAAACTGGAGTTCCACAAGCACCAAGTCGTGTTTTCTCACTACGGGAGTTGGTGCTTGTGAGATTTCAGTTTGTTTGTAGCTCATCGGGCTGAATAAGTCCTTTGGATGGCGGACAAAACTTTTCAGCAGAAAAAAAAACAAACAAAAAAAAACTGTCCAAATGACCTGACTGAACATTGTTGGATTTGTACCTGGATTATTGAGCATGAACTTTGGAATGCAGCACAATGTTTAGTGCTTGATGTGTATGTTGGCAATGGTCTTCCTTTACTACCAGATTAAATTTAAGCTCAACATTTCTTTCAATGACTGAGCAGCCATTTTTATGTTTCCTAAAGCTGTGGCAGCCATATTGAGTCTGGTTGACTTCAAAATTTAATCAGTTGTAGATTTACATTTACCGAGAACTTCCTGAGTTTTAATGACATTTGTCCAGTATCTTATAAGATATTTTGCTAACAGACAGAAACAGTTGACTTCAATTGTCAGCGCAAAAGTTTTCAAAACAGATCTTATGTGATCAATTAGCAATCAGAGTATGTGTAAGAAATAACTCTCAGCTACTACCACTCTAAACTCAGGCTTGATATCTGTAACGCTGGTAGAGTTGTATATTTTGGTGTTTGAACAAATTAAGCCATGGCAGCCATCTTGAATGAGTCATCTGCTTGACTCCAAAAGGTTAACACTTATAGAAACACATCTAATGATTCTGAGAGCGTCATTAAAATCCATCCTGTGGTTCATTAGATACTTTGCTAAAACTACAAACAAATGTAAAAACGTTGCCACTTCACATTCTCACGTGGTCGATAATGATTGGTGTGTTTCGTGTTTAAGTGTGAGGAAAAAAAAAAAAACATTTTAAAGGGTGTGTCACAAGAATTTGCGATAGTCTTCGAGTGTGTTTTGCCACCTTTTCTTGTAGATCAGACGATGTGTGCATCAACCCAAACAAGTTGAACTCATTACAGGTGGTCAGTCATCTGCTCTTTAAATAGCAGCGCAGCAGGGAGTGTTGTAGGGACCACATGTATTTATGATGAAGTTGCCAACATGGCCTACTTCTGGGTGACTGCTCCAGTCTCACTGATACTAACATCTCTTCACTCTGTCTTTACCTCTGTGCTCATTTATAGTCATTTTTTAATTCCTTTGCCTTTTCTTTCCTGTATATCAGGTCCATTAGATCACAAACTACGTTAAAGTCAGCTAAATACATCTTTGTGACGTTTAGAGCTAGATTACAAGTTGAGTTAACATTTAATTGCAAGAACTGTGTTTAACAGCTTGACATCACACATTTTATCATTCATTGTGAAAAGTAGAAGACAGTAAATTCAAAACTACTTTAAACCTTTGCTTTATTATTCTGTATTTAGTTATATAGTTAGACATGTTGTTTTATGCTAAATGAAATTAAGCACTTAAATTATAGATTCTTTAATGAACTACAACTACAAAATGTATGATAAATAACTCCCATTTCCCCAAGGACACAACATTAATACAGTAGCATGTAGTAATGCATCAAACAGTACTGTATAATAAAGTATGGTGTTGTAAAATTAATAGAAATACTGCTATTTTAAAGTACTTTTAAAAGCCCAAATGACACCACCAGGGATTTCCATTATGAATGTTTTGGTGTTTAAAGTTGTTTTTTTCCCCCAAAGTCTCTTTTTAGTACTTCTACAGTTTACAAAGCAAACACATATTTTTACTGAAACCAGAATTCTATAAAACAATGCCAAGTTATTTTAAGCATGGTCAAGAAGTCAAAGAAAACAAGAACAAGAAACTGGGTGCTGAAGAGAACACTAACTCACTGTTTGTTGGGAGATTTTGTTCATTCATCATTTATTTATACAGATTAATCACATTGAGCCTCGGAGTCTCATTTACAAGTGAGACCAGTTTTAGACGGACAAACAGACAAAGTATGGAAAAGAGAAAACACGAGAGAGAAGGGAGTTAAAAAAAACAAACATATCATGCACTATGTCCTGGCTGAAAAAAAAGGAAGAAGCAGGTAAAGATAATAGATGGATGGATTCATTCCTCTATTATAGATTTGTGGGGAGGAAAATAAAGCTGAGAAATCAAAATAAACAACTAAAGGAATAAAGTCAAGCAGCTGCAAAGCTACTTTGGGTAAACTCAGCCTAGACTTGCGTGGTACACCAAATGGTAAACATTAAGTTAACCACTTAAGGAAAAGCTTCAGTTCAGTAACTATAAAATAAGGTTAATGTACTTTTTACTGTAACTTACTCTCAGCAGGATGCCAGTGAGTTACTATAAAAGTATTTACAGTACTAGTACTCTTTGTGTTTTTATCTTGACCGATTTAAAATAATAATAATACTTTATTTATAAAGCCCTTTAAAACAATCACAGCTGCCACAAAGTGCTGTACATATAAATTTATATTTACAATAGTGGTATTGTTTGTAAGTACTGGCAATGTCTTTTTACAGTTGTATTACTGTAATCTAGTTCAATGTAGCGTTTCAATACTTTAATTTAAATTGGCAATGGTTTAATATAATTCACTGTATCAACACAGTTTTTATTTACAATATCATTACTATAATGTAATTTTCTATATAGCGGGGATCCTTGAGATATTGTGTGCATATACACACTAGTTACTTTAATTGTTTTAACGATTATTTTAGGCAATAATCATTACAGTATAAAATATGGTGTTATTTAATTAGTTGTTAGCCTAAACTACATAAAACACATGAATTTGCGTTTCGTAAAACAAACAATTTCTAATAACTACTGTTTTGACAAAAATAAATTACAACGAGTAATTTTTAGATGTTAAAGAGGATTTTTATCAACAGCATCAAAAAAAACTAAAAGTGTCCATGTGGCGTTTGATTACATTTGTGCACATTTAAACTAGGGCGGCACGGCAGAGCAGTGGTTAGAGCTGTCGCCTCTCAGGAAGAAAGCTCACTTCCTGGTCAGGGGCTTTTCTGGGTGGAATTAGCATAAGCACTATTTTTGTCTCCAGGTACTCCAGTTTCCTCCCACATACCAAAGGTGCAATTTAGAGAGAGAATAGTTGTTTTGTCTCAGCGCTGCCCTGTGGTGTACTTATGACCTTTCCTGGGTGTACCCTGTTGGAGAGAAGCACCAGCTCCCCACAACCCAGAAAGGAGAAGAGGAAAGAAAATGGATGGATGGAACATCTTAGCTTTAACTTATCAACTTCATACTTGAATAAAAACTGTGCAACTCTTTCACTAATAGTCCATAAAATACTTGAAAAAATAAACAAATAATCAAAATACACACACACACACACACACACCAATCAACTTGACAATGCAAAACGATTTTTACACAGTTTATGTGATTGTTAACATTTCATGTTTTGTTTTCTGTTTATATCAGCAACATATCTTGTAAAGTCCAACATAGATTTGAATGAAATTTCCTGATGAAGCCAAACGTTTCAGTGGTTCTTCTTCTGTATGAATGGGTCTGAATGACGCGCACACACTGATGCACTTATGTACACCTAGATAGAAAAATCACACAAGTAACAGAGGGGGGCGCTGTTGCTCATTTTACGAAGCAGAGAGTGAAATCCCACTCAGCTTCAACTCAAACCATCCACCAGGTTTGAGAACACTCAATGTTCTTTACCAGCCTAATGTTGCAGAACTCTGTGAAGCTGGCAAAAGTGCAGTCAGGAATGTATTCAAGCAAATATCAAAGTGAGACTAACTGCAATTACTATCTGTACTGTAGTACTGATAGTGACACTGCTATGTGCCTCTAAGAAGCCTTAAACTTTACCTTTTACAGGATCAAGTTATAGTCTGGTGTATGTTTGTGTGGATGTGTGCTGGAGGAGGTGATAGAGGAGGGGTGGGTGGGAGCGGTGAAGACACCACCCAACTCTGTTGGGAAAGGGAGGCGGTGCGAGTGTGCGCAGGGAGGGTGAGGAGAAGAGCGAGGGAGGGGAGACTGAGCTGCTCGTTTCAGCACCACGGACAGCTCCGGCTTCCTGCAGCCACTCCGAGATGAAACCGGGACTTTGACACCACAGGAGCAGACATCAGATGATCTCCCAAGATCATCTTCTTCTTCTATAACGACAGACTGCAGTGAAAATCAATAGAGGAAGGTGTGTGTGCTGCTATTTTTTCCAAGTTTCTCCAAGATCTTTATTTTTATTTTATTTTTGTTGCCACTGGGGGATCTTTTGGTGTTCGTGGGAAGTTGAAGAGCAACGTCAGCGCCCTTCTCCAGTTTGGACTAAAATAATCCTGAAAGAAGTTTCTTCCATTGAGTTTTAGTGAGGAAAGATTTCTCTTTGTTGGGAAACACTCCCGGGAACGACAACAAAAGGAATATTTCAAGGCAAGTGTGTTTTCCTCTCGGTGCATTAGGCTTCTTTCAGCCTCCATCCTCCTCTTGTAGGACTAATGCTGTTTCCCCACAGGCGATAGGAGTCTCACAGCCACTAATGCAAGCCTCGGAGATGGTTTTCCTCTCATGCAGCACTGATTTTTAGCGTCTCTCTCCCACCATCAGACTTTTTATTTACCCTTTTCAGAACCCCCCCCCAGTAATGACAGGGAACTAACTGGGGAAAGTGTTTGATTAGTCATGATTTTTGTGAGATGAGGTTGGAGAAGAACTTTTGACTCGGATCCATTTTCTTCCCATATTTTTGAGGGACTTGCTGTTAAAGAGGTGCCTGTTTGTTTGTGATGGAAATGATGGCGCTGAATGGAAACTGTAGGACTAATCCCAAAGACCAGGCGTCGGTCCAGAACAGTTTTCCAGATGTTGTTGAGTTAAACGTCGGGGGGCAGGTTTATTACACGCGCCACTCAACTTTGGTGGGCACCCCAAACTCGTTACTTGGGAAGCTCTTCTCTTCCAAAAAAGAAGCGTCTAATGACCTGGCAAGGGACCCCAAAGGCCGTTACTTCATCGACAGGGATGGGTTTTTATTCCGCTACGTTTTGGATTTTCTCCGGGACCGGCAGGTTGTCCTCCCGGACCATTTTCCGGAGAAAGGGAGGCTCAGAAAGGAGGCTGAGTACTTCCAGCTGCCTGACCTGGTGAAGCTCTTGAGCCCCGAGGATATCAAACACAGCCCGGATGACTACTTCCACAGCGACCACGAGGATGGGTCTCAGGGCAGCGACCACCGGCAGTGCCCCCCGCCCTCTTTGGTCCCCGCGGATAGAAAGAGCGGCTTCATCACGGTGGGCTACCGAGGCTCGTGCACCATGGGCCGTGAGAATCAGTCTGATGCCAAGTTCCGGAGGGTCCCTCGGATACTGATTTGCGGCAGGGTGGCCCTCGCCAAAGAGGTATTCGGGGAGACTTTAAACGAGAGCCGTGACCCGGACAGGACACCGGACCGGTACACCTCCCGGTTCTACCTCAAGTTCAAGCACCTGGAGAGAGCTTTTGACATGTTGTCGGAGTGCGGTTTCCAAATGGTGGCCTGCAACTCGTCGGTCACGGCCTCGTTTGTCAACCAGCACACGGAGGACAAAGTCTGGTCCAGCTACACGGAGTACGTGTTCTACCGTAAGTAACACCGCGAAAGACCACTAGTGGGCGCACGTGTTCAAATGTGTGAGAGAAACATCTGGAGGAGGGATAATGGGTGGACCTTCCACAGTGTCTCCTGTAGGTCACATTAGGACTTATAAAAATCAATCTGATTTGATTTACAAGTCTCAAACGCTTGTTAATCAGCTGTGTGAAACATTTTTAGGATGTTTATTTGTAACGCTGCATCTCCTCTGTGAAAATCAGGATGTCTGAGGTTTAAGTCTGACCCCGGGCACAAAACTAACTATAGAAACAACAATTTTACAAAAAAGTTTACATCTAAATGTAGTAGAACAGTAAAATCCACAGAATGGTAGATAAAGTAAAAGCAACTCAATATTGAAAGCTAAAAGTCATAGAACATTAACTAAGAGGTCACAGATATGTATCTAAAGGCTAAATATAGCAAATTGGTGGCTAAAAGTTTCAGAATGACAGACAAGTCAAGAGTAACTGAACTGTAGCTAAAATCTAAAAGGAGCAGACATGACAGCTAAATGTGTCAAAACGACAACTACAACCTAAAGTCTGTAGAATAGAAGCAAAAGAGTAGCTAAAAGCTAAATGTAAAAGAGCAGCAGGTAAATGCTAAAAGCAGCAAAACAGTACTTAAACATTACAGAATTATAGCAGTGTCTTTAAGCTAAAAGTTGCTTAAGCTAAAGATAGCATAAGACAACAAAATATCACTATTACATTGTGGTAGATTTTAAAGAGAACAAAGGAATTTTAATGCTTTTGTGTAGGAAATTTTATTTAAAATAAAAGTAAATAGTTTGAAAAGTGGGGCAGTACGATGGCATAACTGGTAGAGCTGCTGTCTCTCAGCGACAAGGTCGCTGGTTCAAATCCTGGTCCGGGGCCTTTCTGGGTGGAGTTTGCATGTTTTCTCTGTGCATGCGTGGGTTTTCTTCGGGTACTCCTGTTTCCTCCCAAAAACCAAAAACATGCAGGTTAGACTGATTGGTAACTCTAAATTGTCTCTAGGTGTGAGTGAGAGAGTGAATGTTTGTTTGTCTCGTTTGTCTCTATGTGTCCCTGTGATGGACTGGAGACCTGTCCAGGGTGTACCCCGCCTCTTGCACAGTGATTGCTGGACATGGGCACCAGTGGCCCATCTGACTCAAAATGGAACAAGCCGGTAAAAGATAATGGATGGATGGATGGAGTTTGAAAAGTGTAAAGTTATAAAGACACATAAAAGTCAACTATTGATCAATGGAATATTTTTATATACAATATATAGATTATTAGTATACCACAAAGTAGTGGTTTCTAGTAGTGAGTTCAAAGTAGTAATACTTTTGAACCCGTCCAAAGGACCAGACTTAACTTTTTTAGATATTAGGAAGTAGTTTACATAAAGAAAACCATAAACAGGAAAACTATTGTGTGGATCCACATGATTAGACATGTTTAGAACGAGAAGTAGCAGAAATGAAAATGTTGAGGTTCTCCTTAGGAGTGACAAGGATGGATAAGATTAGATCATCAGAGGTACAGCACAGGTTGAACAACTGGGAGATAAAGTTAGAGAGGCCAGACTGAGATGGTTTGGACATGTCCAGAGGAGGGACAGTGGGTATACTGGTAGAAGGATGTTAGAAATGCAGCTGCCAGGAAAAACACAAAGAGGAGATTTGTGGATGTAGTTAGAAAAGACATGGAGGTAGTTGGAGAGGACAGAGTGAGATGGAGGAGGATGACTCGCTGAAGAGGAAAAAGACAAAAGAAGACATCTTTAGTGGGGTTAAGGTAGGATGCATTTAAACATTTAACTGAGTGGATTTGTCTTTAATCTCAGCCTCAAACATTTTACAGCATGTTGCAACATTTGATACAACCCTGCAAGAGTTTATATATATAAAAAAATGTATCCAGATTTTTCAATAATCTCCCTTTGAGGCATCATGAAAGCTGTCAGAGCAGTGATTTGTTAATGCGCTGCCACTTCTCATCATAGTCTAATTTGCTTCTCCACTTTCTCTCTCACTCTCTCTCATCCTGCCCAGTTTCATTTCAACTCCCCTGCATTTCATTTTGGATTTTGATATTACTCTCTTTGCATTTCTCTGTCTGTGAGCCTCACAGGCTGCTGCCTATGTAGGAGGCTGATAAAGAGGTTGTAAGGAAAAGTTCATCATCAGGTTTATTGTGGCTGTTGTACAGTTTTATGGCATCACAATATAATCCATACACTCTGATTTATCACAAGCACAGTTCTTTGCACAATAAACTACTCCAGAACAAGTAGCAGTGAGTAAATTATAGATTGACAAAGGCCTATGGTTGAATTGCCAAACAGATTATTTAGAATTTGATCACGTCATGTTGTAAAACACATAAGTGACAAGCCATATTGTGCTGAGTTGTAGAATACTTAATTGTGGAAGATTTACATGGCACCTAGTATTTAACTGTGAATCAGCCACATAACATATCAACATTCAAGGTTTTTAAGACAGAATAATTTCTTTGTTTTTCAATAAAGGTGTATATTTCTACCTCATAATTTATCAAATTGCACTCAAGGTCTAAACACATCGTGGTATTTTATTGCCAAACTGAAGAAAATGTAGACGGCATGGAAAGTTCAGAGAAGAGGAGTAAGAATAAGAATAATCACAGCACGTTCAGACAAGGTTATCTTAAGATTTCCTTTTTCCTCCATATCAAAATGTCACATTTGTGAATGGGACTCCAGATGGGTGAACAAAGGTTTCTGAAACGTTTCATTATTAAATTGCATATTGTTGAATAATATTTCTAATGGAGAGTCACTGAAGGGATTAGAGAGCACAAGTGTCCAGTTTAGTCACCCAGCTTTGCCTTTTGTGCATCGATATTTCTTGTAAATAGGTAAAAATTGATCAACGGCACTGCTCAGTGGGAATAATGTAATCCATTCAACTGTTCTTTAAATAAGATATTTTCCATTCATCCGTTATCTTTACCCGCTTCTATCTTTTGGGGTCACGGGGGTGACTGGTGCCCATGTCCCGCAATCACTGTGCGAGTGGTGGGGGACACCATGGACAGGTTGCAAGTCCATCACAGGGACACATCAAGACAAACAAGACAAACAACCATCCACTCTCTCACTCACACCTAGGGACAGTTTAGAGCACACGTGTCAAACTTAAGGCCCAGGGGCCAAATGTGGCCGTCGTTGACATCTTATTTGACCCCCAAGATGATATGTGAAACGTAAACTACTTCTTTCTTTTAATATTTTTCAGTAATAGTTGATTACAATGTCAAAAACACAACAGAGAACATTAAATGAGACCAGTCATAGTCTTGTTGAGGAACCTGTGACCAAGAAAAGATGTTGGGTTTTTGATTTGAGTTAATGCAGATTCTGAAATTGGCCTTTAGTTTGAAAAAAAAGTTTTAATTTTAACCCCTTTTGTAAGTGATTTTGACACCCCTGATTTAGAGTTTCCAATCAGTCTAACATGCATGTTTTTGGTCTGTGGGAGGAAATGGGAGTACCCGGAGAATACCCACACATGCATGGAAAGAACATGCAAACTTCACCCAGAAAGGCCCCCCGGACTGGGATTTGAACCAGGGTAATCTGCTCGCTGAGATGCAGCAGCTCTACCAGTTGGAGACTGGTAGGACTTGCGACCTGTCCGGGGTGTCTCCGCCTCTCGCACAGTGACTGCTGGATATGGGCACCAGTGACCCCTATGACCTGAAAAGGAAGAAGCGGTTAAAGATAATGGATGGATGGAATTTTAAAATCATTGGTACTTTGCTGTATGTGAAGTTTGTAAACATTTGGTACTTTGTGTAGACTTGTATTTTGTAATACCCCTTAAACAGTATAAATCTTTGAGTGCATCACATTTTTATTCATAAATACTTTGTTTTCTTTTCCAAGCAAACAATTCTGAGGTTTGTTTTCACTCACAGAGAATCACTTTAAGCACCCAATCTAAATTCCAGCGTTGCTTAATTAGCCATGTTTTGGGTGAATTAAAACACGTTCCCAAGCATCATTGTTTTAGTGCGCTTCAAAATAAGCTAAACCATCTGCAAGTTCCTACGTGACCAAAACATGTTTTAGTTTTTGCCATTTTAGAAGAACCCCACTGTATGCTTCATAAATGACAAACGTCAAATAAACACATGAGCAAAGAGCAGCTGAAGAAACACACGAGGACAATTTGCTGGGTTGGGTCCAGGCTAAATGAGCTCTGCATTAATGACCTACATAAAGCACACGGACTGGATGGCTCTTGGCTCTTAAAACTCCCAGAAGTAACTCTAACAAGCCAAATCAAGAGCTGGTGAGAGCTGCTGACACATGTCACATAAACACACACGTGCGCACGCTACACATCCTGCTAATGTGATATCTGGCAGTGTGTTTGTGGGCCACCGCTGCCACTTTCTGCCTACTGACAGCAGTAAGAGCTTCCTGATTTTGCTGACAAATGTTCAGCTTGTTAGGGGCATCACACTCAAAAGCAGGGGGTACAAGTCGCCATGGTAAGCACATTGAGAATCATGCTGGGAGTTTGTTTAATGCTGCAGTCACACAGTGGATTAAATGCAGCGGCTGACAATCTACCTTCTCCATTTGCTTCTCTTTTGTCCCCTCTGTCTTGCTCTTTCATGTCTTGTCAATTTGTTGGAGTCAATCATTGTCTTTTCTTTTGATTCAGTTCCTGCCTTGCCTCTCCCCAGCTTCATTTCACTCCGTGCGCCGCAGGGGCAAGAAGCACAGCGGCGACACCAGTTGCCTTTACATGCCCCAGTGCACCGTCACGCCTCCTGTCTTGCTTCTTATTCATATCTCTGTCTGCCTGTCTGTCTGACGTCATGATTTCTGCTTTATCTGTCGTCTTCATCTGTCTTGTGCCATGTTTGATTTAGGCTAAGGTCTGATTTTGTATTTTCAGCAAGACCTTACTCAGTACATTCAAACATACTCATTGCAAACTATAAAATAAAACTTATAAAGTT